TGACATACATTTATATATATGCGGTTGTGACGACAGTTGGTCTGTTGGAAGAGAGGTAATTTCTTTATTGCAATCGAAACTGAATCGGCGCTGTTAAATATAAAGGTCCTAAAGCAAAGTTTGATCGACCAAGAAGGTTAGTTTTTTGAGAACGTTTGCTAGGAAAGTTTTTTGATACTTGCTAGGATCAGTTTAGGATCAGGTTAGAAAGTTTCTTTGAGGTTGCCTCTCCGTATTTTCTTTGTTAATAAAAACCAAATTAGGGGTCCGATTTATCGAAACTTGAAGCAAATTATCCCACACGAATTCTCAAAGGTCCGCGGTGAAGTCAGTGCCCCATATTTGTCATTATCATGCAAGATTGATAAAAGATAAAACTGCCCTGAATGGATTATTATCGTGCCAAGCTGTGCGACGATATATTCGGATGAAAACAAGATTAAATAACTCCTGGGTATTTGCACTAAAACCACCAGAGTACCACCAATTGATAGCATTTGAAAATGCGATAAACTGTGTTTTTAAGTTAGCGAACTATTTAGAATCGCGCACGTATATATAGTTTGCATAAAAGTACGAGGTTGCGTTGTTAGGTCACGGTTGCGTTAAAATTCTTCCATAGCAACGATATGCTGGTGGAACTTATTTCTTTTTTCTTCAATTTCTTGAACCTCTTTTATTTGAAATGTTTGAATTTTATATCTTAATTGCTCGATTGTAAAGCTAAAGATATGAAGAAAAAGCAATCTTCAATTTCTTGTACCTCTTTTGCATTCGAAATGTTTGAATTTTATACCTTGCTCGATTGTAAAGCTAAAGATTAGGTAAAAAAATAGCAGTGAAGTACGCTGAATAACTATGAATTATATGTTTTCATACCGGTTTTTGCGGAATATTTTGAATATTCAGGTTTCTCTGCAGCTCTGATATAAATAAATTGTATGCGTGTTACAACAAATATAACAGCCAATTGGCAAGATCTGCCAAGTATTTGCAGAGAAATACAAGTTTATACAATGAGCACAATAGTTTTGAAGGTCATCTGACAGGACGGCAATGAGTAACATGAATATTTTTGTAAAATACAACTATTACATATCTAAATACAAGAAATTAAATTTCATTAACCCACTCGTTAACTTATAGGAGCGAGTTTGAATCAAATTTTGGTTCAAACTTAGTTGAAAGAAGGAATTAATTATTAATCTATTGAAAAATGATGAAATTCCCTCTTGTAAATCAATTAACGGCTTTTCAAATGCTTTGTGAATTTTAAAGAGACATACCACCAGTCCATCATGCAAGCTGGCTGGGATCTGAGCCATTATATTGAGCTGAAACGACTATAACTCCCAGTTGCGAATGGATACAGCAGCTTTGAATATTCGTAACGCAACAACAGCATTTAACAATTATGTTTAGATGTTTCGAAAAATCCTGGCAAAAACATCCCAAGTCGCGTATGTTCTTCTAATGGCGAGCATCAATTTTGCCGAACCATCCAAAAGCTGCGACCCACTTCTGCTGAGCATGACTCGAAACATGGAAACCGGGCGTAGATTGAAATCACGTGCTTTTGAGAGCCAACCAATCAGCTTCGAGCTTGAATGTTACATGAAATGCCTGGAGAACTGTCGTTGTCTTTCATACAACGTTTGTAATGGAGGGAAACTGTGCGAATTGAATTCGGAGCGCGGAGGAAAGAATGCAAAATATTACGAAAAAAATGACCAATGTGATTATCATGATTTTGATTTCGAGGATCGGGTAAGTTTCAACGTCAATACCGGGAAGTTTGAAGTCAACATGCGTGTGAGAAATGTTTTTTAAGATTTTTTTTCACTTATTTTGACTTAAATTTAAATTTCGTCAATCTCATGAAAAATTATCATCGATCAACAGTCCAAGCCTATATATAGCTGGTGTTTGCATTATTTCTCAACAGCTGGTTACATACGCCTCTATCGAATGTCTTTAGGTAGCCAACGATTGCAAAGATCCATGTTGCAAGACGTCACAAGTTTGCTTGAATGGCGGGCGTTGTCAAGCTACTTGCATGGAGCATGGAACCCGATTTAAATGCCTGGTTTGCCCTGACGGTCACGCGGGAGAGCGTTGTGAAATTTTACCTAGAAGTTGCAACGCGTACAACAAGTCTCCAAATCGTACTCATGGTCTGCGATTAGTCTACGATCCCGACAATACAACGTACCACGTTTTCTGTCATATGAGGGATACTGAATCGTTAACGATGGTGATGTCTTTCTCCAGAGATAACTTGGAGCACCCAGCCAACAATCAAACCCTTAGAAAGAATTTTCCTGTGTCAGAAAACTCGCCCAACTTTATTAAATACAGGTTGTCTTATCGTAGGATGGTTGGGATACGGGATCATTCAAAGTACTGGCGATATTCATGTAAATACGACGAATCTGCCCTGAAAAGTAACGTTAAATTGAGAGCACAGTTTGTTTCTCTTAACCCGCTTGTTTTTGATTCTGGTAAAAGCAAAGGTTGCTCAAAAAACATTGATATTAAAATCAGCAAGAACGAAAAGTGTTTTCAATGCAACGTCTTTGTCATCCAGCGAGACGGTCTTTTGCATGTGACTCCGGAGGAATGCGACAGTGGATGGGCGAAGGTACCGAACTATAGGTGCGAAAACGGGGAATTAGCCAGATATTTTGGGGATTATGGCAGGTGTTATGACCCAAGCTTTTTGTGTACAAAAAGTGCCCAAGCAACAACTCAGCTCTTGTTTCATTAATATATTCAATAAGATAGTTCAAAGACGGCGGGTACGAAAACGAACAATTTGAAAAATAGACTAACCGTACCTTACGCCAGAGTGATTTCGTACCAGTGTTAGTATAGAATTCTTCTTGGATTACACCTTTTGCGAAGATAAAAATTGCAACCTTTAATGAAAATATTCAATTCGCAAAAGGTTACATTTTGAGTAGTGTGTGCATATAGGCTGTTTTAAAAATCACGTTTTCACACATGTAACATATTTAATACGTCATATATTAAGTCATTACCAGAAATAATAGCTTGTGTAGTAATTTGTATATAACTCTATATATCTTTGCGCATGTTACAGGGTTGTTAACCGAAGGAAATGCACAAAAAGTTATCAACTGCAACTGAAAATAGGCGATGAAATTAATTCAAAATTACAGCAATATGTAAAAATATGCATATCTTGTTCAATTTCTTGCAAAGTAAATCCGTTGAGTAATAAATATATTGGGGTTTTGCACTGAATAGTTTATACGTGTCATTCCCTGCCGTTTAAACAGAATTATATAGGCAAAATCAAACCTGTCGTTGACAGCTAAAATCATTCTACCCCTTTTTAACTTTTCGAAAATGCTAATCTATGCAGGCTTTAAGGAATATTATAAAAAAGTGCTCTGACATGTCGTGACAGATTTTGAAAAATTTCCATTATTTTACATCTGTTTTTACGTATACCTTGCATAGTGCTGTGGCGATGAACAACAAGCCGAACTACCGAAGATCAGCTTAACCAGTTTTTTAGGATTTAAGATGGATTAACTAGAGATTAACCAATAATTTAAGACATCGTAAACCCGGGGATACCAGGCTAATTTAACCGCAAATGCCTGCCACCCGTGCATCTCTATGCGTTTCTTATTTATATGTAACGAGAAGAACTGTTGCAATAATTACGCAGGTATATAGAGTTGATTGTTGACAAGTATTTGGAAATTTTGAGAATTTGATGGGTCATACTTATTCCGTCACAGACCATACAGAATTAATCCATTGGACATTGACCGACTGCGCGTCAAAATCGGGGTGGATTGGTGAGGACGCGCTTAAAAGGTTGCAGCGACTTGAGAAAATCTTGGAAGAAATAAAACTTATAAAAGATAATACGAAAACTCCTGATAAGATTTGGCACGTCTCACGGCCACGAGAGGACAAAATTATAAGGTACATGCAGAACCTGAAGAATACTAGAAAATTTAGACTTTTTGCAGATGCTGAAAATGTTTTATTTGTAAACTAAAACTTCTTATTCGTAAATTAATGTGTTTGCATGGTAACGGGTCCACTCATGCACAGGCAATTCATTCAAAAAGAAAATATTGATATTCTTATGCCCGGTAAGGGTTCAAAATTTACAGCTTTTTAGAAAATACGTTTCCTTTAGAGAGTTTATTATTGTACCGTTCCATCATATATATCAGCATATCATATAGCCACAGCATTTTACAGAATATTATACTACAAAATCATTTGAGATCCAAAGATCCAAAACCTGCCGGAAAGATTTTATATTTATTGGTATTGTAAAACGGTTCGACTACTCACATGCATGCCTGCCACTTATGCCATTTTTATACGTTGGGTTACGCACGGCATAGAAACTGTTGTAACTTTTTACTTTTGTACTTCTATTATAATAGATAATTTTTTGGAATCCTATATATACGTCGGCTGCACGATGCAAGATTAATTCAATTTTTCGTAGTAAATGGTTTCTAGTTCATTTCGAGGTTTATTTTCGGTCGCTGCATGCGCTTTTGCCTAACAGCTGGTCTTAGAACTTCGCAACATTAAATATTGATTAAGTCCTAAGTGTCCTTATGAGTCTAACCTGTCATATAAATTTATATGCGCGGTTGTCACAACAAGTGATCTGTTGGAAGAAAGGGGATTTCTTTATTGCAATCGAAACTGAATCGGCGCTGCTAAAGCAAAGTTTGAACAAGCAAGGTTTGAACAAGACGTCACAAGTTTGCTTAAATGTCGGGCGTTGTCAAGCTACTTGCATGGAGAATGGAACCCGATTTAAATGCCTGGATTGCCCTGACGGTCACGCGGGAGAACGTTGTGAAATTTTACCTAGAAGTTGCAACGCGTACAAAAAATCCCCAAATCGTACTCATGGTCTGCGATTAGTCTACGATCCCGACAACACAGGGTACCACGTTTTCTGACATATGGAGAACACTGAGCCGTTAACGATGGTGATGTCTTTCTCCAGAGATAACTTGGAGCACCCAGCTTACAATCAAACCCTCAGAAAGAATTTTCCCGTGTCTGAAAACGCACCCAACTTTATCAAATACAGGTTGTCTTATCGTAGGATGGTTGGGATACGGGATCATTCTAAGTACTGGCGATATTCATGTATGTACGATGAACTTGCCTTGAAAACTACCATTAGATTCAAAGCACCGTTTGTTTCTCTTAACCCGCTTGTTTTTGATTCTGGTAAAAGCAAAGGTAATTGCTCAGAAAACATTTCTATCAAAATCAAGGATGGAAAGAAATGTAGTCATTGCAACGTTCCTGTCGTCCAGCGAGATGGTCTGTTGCATGTGACTGCAGAGAAAATGCTTCTTTGTGACAATGACTGGACGAAGGTGCCAAGGTATAGGTGCAAAAATGGTGAATTACCCACATATTTTGGGGATTATGGCAGGTGTTATGACCCAACCTTTTTGTGTACGGAAAGTGCCCAAGCAACAACTCAACTCTGGTTTTATTAATATATTCAATAAGATAGTTTAAAGACGGCGGTACAAAAACGAACAATTTGAAAAATAGACTAACCCTACCTTACGCCACAGTGATTTCGTAGCAATGTTAGTATAGAATCCTTCTTGGATTACACCTTTTGCGAAGATAAAAATTGCAACCTTTTATGGAAATTTTCCATTCGCAAAAGGTTGCTTTATGAGTAGTGTGTGCATAGGCTGTTTAAATGACGTTTTCACACATGTAACATATTTATAATACCTCCTATATTAAGTCATTACCAGAAATAATGGCTTGTGTAGTAGTTTGTATATAATTCATTATATGATAATAGATCTGGACGGCACCGCAATAATTGGCAAGACTTTCTCAATACTTATGCTTCAAACTTGGTGTGAAAAAATATTATAAATACTCAAGAAAATATGTCTTGCAGAATAGATTTGAAGCTTGCACACGGCAAAAACGAACGAATCAATTTCTGCGGTGTTGGTCTGGACACTGGAGTCTTAACCGAGTCTATATAGATATATAAAATAGAAATATAAAATGCATGAAATCGTCGTTACCATGAACTATAGGTCACCCCGGGCGATTTTACAATCTTCCAAATTCCTCGTGTTAGGAAGGATAAGATGTCAATTCAAACACACGGAATAAATGGCGCACTCAAATATTTATTCTTCTTATGAACATAATACATAATTATATATCTTTGCACATGTTACAGGATTGTTATCCGAAGGGATTGCACTAAAAGTTATCAACTGGAAATGGCGATGAAATTCGTTCAATATTACAGCGATATATAAAAATATCTCGTTATTACTTGCAATGTAAATCCGTTGAGTAATAAATATATTGGGGTCTTGCACTGAATAGTTTATACGCGTCTTCTCTGCCGTTTAAACAGAATTATGGCACCTGGCTACCCAAAATGAGCTCTCTCATTGACAGCTAAAGGCATTCAACCTTTTTTTACCTTGTCGAAAATGCTAATCTACGCGGGCCTTGAGGAATCTTATAAAAAAGTGCTCCATCAAAAATATCTCATGTCATGACAGATTTTAAAAGGTTTCCATTATTTTACATTTATTTTTACATACACCTTGCATAGTGCTGTGGTGATGCACAACAAGCCAAACTGCCGAAGATCAGCTTAGTCAGTTTTTTGGATTTAGGATGAATTAGCCCAAGATTAACCAATAATTCAAGACATCGTAAACCCAGGGATACCAGGCTAATTTAACCGCAAGTGTAAGCCACCCGTACATCTCTATGTGTTTCTTATTAATACATAATGAGGCGAACTGTTGCAATTATTTCGCAGGTATATAGAGTTGATTGATGACAAGTATTTGGAAATTTAGAACATTTGATGCTTGATTTCAAAATTAATTATAGCATGTAAGGGTCAAACTTATTCCGTCGCAGACTATTGGGCTGTTTAATCTATTGGACATTACGGATTGCCCGACTGCGCGTCAAAATCGGGATGGATTCGGATCGGTTTCGTGAGGACACGCTTAAAAGGTTGGAACGACTTGAACATATCTTGGAAGAAATAAAAGACAACACGAAAGCGACTCCAAATGAAATTTGGCACGTCCCAAGAGAGGACAAGGTACAGAACTAGCAGAATACTAGAAAATTTAGACTCTGTGCGGGTGTTGAAAATGCTTTATTTGTATACTTCGTATTTGTAAATTAATATGACTGCATGGTAACAGGTCGGTTTACAGACAATTCATTCGAAAAGAAAATATTGATATTTTTATGTTTGTAAAGGGTTTAAAATTTACAGCCTTGTGGAAAATACGTTTCTTGAGGGAGTTTATTATAGTACTGTTCCATCATATAGCGTATCATAGCAACAGCATTTTACAGAATATTACTATGTACAAAAGTATTTGAGATCTAAAGCTCTAAAATCTGCCCGAAAGATTTTAAATCTAGCATAAGAGTATAGTTAAACATTTCTGATCGACCTACAGAGGTCTATTGCACTATGTTCGGCTTGACAATATGTCTTTCCGCGTTTGATGTTAAATGCATTAAGGAATTCCTTGGAGTTTAGGGTCCTTTGGATTACAATGAGGAACGGTGCGGTACATGATACATGGATAAAACAACTTTATTAGTTTATTTAAATATGGAAGACTATAGCACTGCTATAAAACTGTTATAATTTGGATCCTAACATAACCGAAGCCCGTGTTATGCAGTGGCGTAATTCCGAGTTATTATAATTATGCATGTCTTTAGAAATCTATTGTTTTCACAGTCAGTGAACACTAAATTATTATCATAGCGCGACAAATCGACAGGCTGGCTATGCTACTGATGCTATGTATGAGAAATTTGTTATTGCGAAAACTCATTAATATTTACTCTTATATACTATTACCATTACCAATCAGGGACCGCGGAGGGGAGGGGGGGGGGGCTGGGGGACTTTAGCCCCCCCCCAATAATTTTCAAAATACATGTGATTCCTTTATAGCGATTTTTATATGGCCATAATAATACGAATAAAAACTCCTTATAGTAAGTTGTGTTATCATAATTATGTGTTCACTATCCGTGTTGGTGAACAATGTTTTCATTGAAGTGTTTACAAGAAAAATATAAACAGATAAGTATGGTCCCCCCCCCGAGGGTTCACTCTTTCGGCTTCGCTAGCCCCCCCAATCCAAAAACTGCTCCGCGGTCCCTGCCAATTCCTACCTTAAAACAGATTTCAAACTAGAAAAACTCATCAGCATAGCAGGAAAAAGTATCCCAAATTAGAAAGACGGGAAAGTATTTGCAAAATATTGAATGGTCAAAATATCGCTGTGTGAAGTTTGAAAATTTTGTGATCAACAATTATTAGATGCAGAGTACTTAACTATCATGGAAATTAATATCTCTCAATAGTAATCATATACAAAGAAAAGTTGTTTACATCACATTACATTATACACTTAATGTTTGCTCCCGAGGGAAATAATGAGTTTTGTTTTCCCAAGAGTCGTCTCGGGAGACATCGAGACTCGATGGAAAACAAAACTACAAAACTCACTATTTCCCGAGATAGTGTACATTAAGTGTTTTGCTATATGGGAACAAAAACATACATGTTACACAACAATTTCATTAAAAAAACACTTTTCTTTGTCATTACAATATGCGGGCAACAGTTTTTCACTTGTTTCCCTGGCGGTAAACATTGCATTTATTTAAAGCCACGTGACTACGAATGAACCAATCAAATTGAAAATACACAGCATGCACCTATATAACAATATACATTACATTGTTACACAGAAAAATTCCACATCCTGAATCAAATGGATTAAATTGAGGCAGAAAGCCCGACATATTACTGTATTGCACACAAGAACTTTGATGATTAATTTATGACATCCATTTTTATGTATTCTTCAGGTGATTATTTCAGTGCGGGCGAAGTTTCAAACAGTTGGTGACATCGATAATGTGAATCAACAGTTTTATGCGTATTTTGTCTTGACTTTAACTTGGAAGGAACCTCGTTTAAAAGGAATGAAAAGAGAGGTAAAGACCACTTGAAAGAATGCATTCCCTGATTCGTTGATGTATTTATAGGAGTAATAGCATTTCTCAATGGCAATATTCTCATATGCTGATTCAATTTTATGTTACACCAAATAAGTTGGTATTTACAAATATCGAAATAACACGCGCAAAACATGACATCACTATTCAATGACCCACTTAATTAGACCCATTTCGTGCAATTCTGAGTGGTTTAACAGCTAATGTACCTAATTGCTAAAATATTACCTATATCGTTTCGGCGAAGGCATTGATAGAACAATTTTCGTAACATCAAACGTGTGGTGTAATAGGTAAAATGACGGCCATATTGAATCGCCGTTGTTACCATAGCAACGGTAATGACGTCGAACTTGTGGACAATTTCTGCTTATTATAATGTTCACTTGGTTATTATGTCTAGGAATTTTTTTTTCCTTTACCAAGAAATCTGCCAAAATTTAAAATCCAAATCTCGAGTTTTCAATATTCCTGAAATTGTAGGGAGCCACCCTAAACTCGGTTTACACTACACTCGATTTATTAGCACGGCAAGGCTAAAATTAGTACCCGTGCCCATTTCCTCCGTGCCCGGCCTCTGTTTCGGTAGCCTGTGAACTAAAAGAATTAGGCACAGTTACCCGTTTTAGCCGTGCCAATAAATCGAGTGTTGTGTGAACGGGGCTCTAGTCCCATACATCGTACTTTTTGCACTGGGTTTAACCTGGTTATGGACATACATGCATTCAGAGTAATTTATGTCATGTGTTTCTTTTAAACGATTTTTTTGTTTTCTAGGATGTTGTATGGAGTGAGCAGTGGGATCCCAGGATTAATTTCAAGAATCAGCTCACGGTAGACAGATTGGAAAAGAATCACGAGTTAAATTACGAACCCGGAGATGACATCCCGACTGTCAATATGTGTATATATTTAAACCTTATTTTATTGCACAATATAGAAGTCCCGTTTACACTACACTCAATTTATCTGCACGACACGGCTAAAATTGGTACCTGCACCTAATTTTGTTAGTATAATAAAACAAAGGCCGAGCACAATTGAGCAAAACAAAAAAGATGGCGGATGTACATTCTACCAGAATGCATTGCGGCCGAAAATCGTTAAAAAGCGATCTGATGTCTTTCAAGGACAGGCATAAAACAGGAAGTTATTTTCTTTACTGTGTTAAAATTTCACGTCATTAGGAGTTTTTCTTGCCATCTTTTTTCAGTCAATCATTCTTAATGCCCGCAATGCATTCTGGTAAAATGTACATGCTGCCATATTTTTCGTTACGGTCTATTGAGATGGGCACGGGTAGTCGGGTACCCATTTTAGACATGCCGTGTGAATAATCGAATGTGGTGTAAACAAAGCTAGAATGTTGCCACTATGCTGTTCCACCTTGCGCTCATCATGCAGTAACCCACAGTAACCCGCAGTAACCCATGATTGATACCATATGTGGTACCATATTTGGTACCATTAGTACCATAGGGGCGTAGCGACTCCCAGCAGTTACATTCATTTTCATCGGGCTGAAATAAAAACTTTAAAATGACTTAATTCATCGGTAACAAGCCCTAGAAAGCTGTTTATGTTCCCTCGGTTGTACTTTACGATAAATTTTATGCAACGCCAGTCATAACCACAACCTACTTAATTGAAAACACGCACAATGCTTTCTATACATAGATACTACCAGGCATTTGAGTACCATAGTGAGTGTAATAATTCTCTAAATTGAGCTATTTCACTTTCTCCTTATTCAAGATGTTTATGCCGCTGGTACATTCAAGGAAATCTTAGAGTTGGGTGATTTTCCATTTGATTACCAGGTACATGATTATCAGTGTTCATACCGTGTACTACGCTATAAACACAGAAATGATTAATGATACATTCAAATTATATGCCATTCAATTTGCATCTAGAGTTTATCCGTACAAATTGATTCAGACTGGCCTGACAACATTATGTCGTTTGAAAAAAACAATGAAATAAAAGACAGTGTCATACTACAAACATTCGCAGGTACGAAATGTGTTGAAGTAACTGCTAATAAATCACTAATCATAATCCAGTGGCTGATTCAGGAAAACGAGGACCTAATTTCAAATTGAAAATACTTTAATAACAACGCTATTGATAATTCATTTCTACCAAATATGATTATTATATACCGCTTGTCCAAGTTTTGGTGTTCGTTGCATTTCATTGGTCGAGAGCGAATCACGCGAGAGTGACGAAATTCTGATGTCGTCAGCTCGACCCCCTGCAGAGTGAGATAACGTGTTATCTCATGGGAAATAAGAACTTTCATCACGTGCGACGCACCTGGACGTGCGACCTTTAGACTGTTTATCCATTTGAAATTATGTCTTTTATGAATAGATATTTCGCTGTTTACCTTGTAGTTTGGTTTTCTTTGACAAGTGATATATAATAAAAAACGTATTTACAGAGAACTTAGAAAAGATTATGTTTTGTGGACCCTCGACCATCGATATTTCACTCGGCCTCGCCTCGGCATGAAATATCAACAGGCCTCGGGTCCACAAAACATAAAGTTTCCTTCGTTTTATCTCAGACTGGTATTAAACTGAAATTTCTTGGTATTCATTGATGGATGTTTGTGTACATGTATATATCCAATGCTCGTCTTCACCTGCATCAACGGTTAAAATATTTCACACTTGGGTTGTCACGAGTGGTCGCTTTGTCCTCATGTTGTGGCTGGTAGAGTCGACCCAAAGAAAAACAATTCCGGCTCACACAGGACTTACCCAAATTATGAGATCACGTGCCATGTCAAGAGAAAACCAAACTTCTATATGTGGAATGTTGCTCTCATTATGGTAAGTGTGCAAGACAAATTTGCATTTCAAGTGATAATTTGGTCTTCTATGCAACAATTTAGTGGGATGGGACACGATGGATGTCTTTTGTAAGAATATCGCGTTTGTTTTCGCTCTGTATCCTGGGGCTTAAATAGAACGATAATTAAATAATAAGCTATTGCACTTACAAAAGAAATCCGTAGGGCAGAACTGAATATCCAAATATCGTTCTAGCTTTGTGCCACTGCCTGTATCGTCCAGTTAGCATCGTCCCACTGGCTGTATCGTCAAGCTCTTTACATTTTCGTACATAATTAATTAATTCTGTTCAAAAATAAATGAGAATGAACCAAAGTTGATAGAATACTTTCGAGATCTCTATCTTCCTTTGATACACTTGTGCTACACGGATGAAAAGTTTTAGAAAATGTAATGGTATTTAATCATGGTCATGTTAAATGTGTAGGGACTGATTATGTCGTTGACGTTTTGCTCGTTTTCCGTGGACATCAGTTCGCCCGAAGACCGACTCAGCGTAACTCTGACTTTGCTCCTAACATCTGTCGCCTTCAAATTTGTGGTTTCCCAGAGTCTTCCGAACGTCAGCTATTTGACCTGCTTGGTAAGAGGTTTGAATTCCTGTCGGATGTCTCGTTTTAAAATGAGCAAGCGACGTGTCTATGTTGATTCGTCATTTTCAATTTCCTTTTTTAGGATCAGTATGTGATAAGCTGCATGATCATCCAGTGCATCATAGCGGTGCTCAACGCGATTGGCGGGAAAATATCCGAAGAAAATCAAGAGTTGTTTGATAATGCCTCGCTGTTTGTTCTTGGAGGAAGTGTGGTTATCTTACATTTAATTTTTGGAATTATCTTTTCTATAAAGGTAGAAACAACGGAACTAAAATAGGAAGCAAACTTCTTGACGTTTGATCAAATGTTCACCGTCAGGGACCGGTTTTATAAAACCTTTAACTATACACTTTGCATAGGGTTAGTCAATAATGATTTTTTGCACTTCACTCGATGCAGGAATATTCTAGAGGTTTTCAAAGGGTCTTAATTTCGAGTGGTATTATACACACTTAAAATTCAAGCCAGGAACAGTTGATGGAAAAATGAGTCAACTATAGGTCCTCCGGCAGGAATCGAACCTACGTTTTTGCGATGCAGGTGCAATGCTCTCTAGAATGCACTTCGCATAGTTGAATCCTAGTTAACTCAGAACTACACAACTCTGATTGGCTAATTCTGTCCTAAACTACAGGTAGTGTTGAGTCTTTTATACAACCGGCCCCAAAAGTGTAAGTTAATACTACTAACAAAACGTCCTTATATTAAGACAACGAGAAGTGTTTTTGTCTATTTTAGGCAGTTGTTTTGCAACATTTGATGCGAAGTTGTCAGAAGACGTTGCTTCATGCTTATATATGAATAAATTATAAAGGTAAAATGATTAACTTTATTATTTCAGGTTGCAAACAGAAATACGTTTCTGAATAAAATAACGAAGGAATATGATAGATTAGCCGCAGAATATAATGAAAGATGGCATCAGAAAAAGAAATATTTAAAATCGCAAGAACAACAGGTACAAATATCTTAAGAAAATTTCAAACAGATATTATATTTTAGATTTGTGGATTCAATTTACTGATTTCTCAAGAATCCTTATTAAAAAAGATTTAGTATACCGCTTGAGCGTTTCTATTTATACCGTAGAACAATTATTTTCATTAATTTTTCTCTCCATATTTATACCGGCACAAATATCTATTAGTAGTCACATTTAGACGTTTCAATGTGGTAATTCCAGAAGTGTCTCTGCAAAGTAGCTTCTTAATATAATTATTGTATATGCATGGAATTGACGAATACCATTGACAGATGAATATACCCTAAAATCATGCAGCCAGAAAACTTGAATCCCGTATAATATACCTGAGGGGAACTTTAACTTTAAGCGTTTCCTTGCGTGGTAACCGATTTGTTATATTTTCCCAGGACGAGGGAAACACGACCCCAAGAAATAGGAACAAGGAAAAAAACAAAAGACAAGTGGAAGATATAAGCATGGCGCTTGAACGGTCAAACCAAATAAATCAATGTTAACAGGTCAGTGAATAGTGAAGCCAAACCAGTAACAAACTCTTCGATATTCCATATTTGTAAGCATATGTATATTATATAGAAATCTTAAGAAAAGAATAACAAATTTCATATATTTTGCAAAGAATTCTCTTAAACGACCACCATTTTATCGAAAAATTATTGATGGAATGATGGTGGGTTAGCGAACCAATAATGTGTTTTGCGAGCAGTTTGCCATATCTCACTGATTATATTATTTCTAAGTGTAAAAGAAGTGTTTCTTTATATTACTGGATTGGCCATCACTTATTAATGGGACAATCAGGCTCGTAGCTAGAAGCTTAATTCGGGGGGAGGGTGTAAATTCCTAAATTCGTCTTATGACCAATGGATTGCTTTTGTACGCCATTGTTCCTGCGGTTGATAAACATGAATATATGAATATACACCCCTTCCCCCCCCCATTTAAGCCGTCTAGCTATACGGCCCTGGGGACTATCAACTATGTAACTAGACTTCTTCTGTCATTCACAGGTCAACTCATAACTGCTTAATACACTCTCATTAAAAAATTCTGGAGCCCAACAAAGCATTTGCATCGAAAATACACACATCAGTATTGTGAATGTGGCAACTTCTACCAGATAATAAGCACCACTATCATGCCGCTATGTTGGTTGCAACTTGGATTGAATAATTTGAATTTACCTGTAATTTAATGCTTTACTCTTTCTTAAGTAAACATTCTTAATTTTCTACGCAAGAGCTAGGTATATATAATTGTGGGCGGTAAAGAGGTGATCCACATCCCAGATAAAAAAGAGATAATCCGTCTCAAACTTAATGCAGTCTGCAAGTTAAAGCAGTTCTGTAGCATCACTTGTATTTGCAGACTTCAAATCAAATAGTCAATACCCAGATAGAGAGTTGTACATGGCCTGTTGAAATTTATGTAGAATTTCGTCGTATGAATGTTGCCGCTATTGTTATGACGGCATATTACAATTACAAGCGCGAAAGGCAAAGAGAGTATTTGAAATATACGTGAAATATAGGCAAGACTGATGTAATGCAATATTCGTTGTATAAACGAGGCACGGAGGCAGTGTCTACTAATTTACCCCTTTAAACGTATAAAACATTACTCTTTGATGCTTATTTCTTGCTTTATAAAGTTCAACAAATTATCTGACTATTCTCGATTTTCCTCTAACGGTTTTCACAATATAGTTGATGGGCAGGTTTTTATTATTAATTATATCAAACTGAGTGCAATTTTAAATTCACTGCATGGCAATGAATAACTTAAGCAAACATATTTTATATATAATATGTTCAAACAACATCTTTTTTTCAATATAACTTAGGAGCGGTTTACATGAGCCCGGTTACCCGAGATTCAACGAAGCGTGAGATGATTTTGAGGTATTGAAATGAGCAGATAACATGATCCTGGCAGTCGTATAATCACCGCAACAATAGCATGTCCTTGTTGGGTGTCATAAAGACTTATTTCCTCTCACGCTTCGTTTAATTTCGGGTAACCGGGCTCATGTAAACAGCCCCTTAAAATTGTATTAAGTCTAAGTATTTCGGCATCTTCTGACCTGTCGTGCAATTAAAACTATATCTAGCAGAAAAATTAAATTTGATAAACGGGGGACAGTGCATTAGGTATAAAATATCACATGATAGCTGAGGTGATATTAATTTTATCGTACGAAGGACAATATCTGAAATATAACCCTTTTTTGGACCTGAAATTACCTAAAGGCATACAATCTCTTTTTAACTTGTCGAAAATCTTTTGGAAATATCCCATGTCATGACATTAGATTTCAAAATATTTTCATTATTTTACCGCATCCGTTTGTATGTACCTCGTATAATGCTTTGGCAATGCACAAAAAGCCAAGACCTGCTTCTTAACCACATTATTTAGGATTTAGGATCGGGTTATCCTTAGATTAACCAATGATTTAAGACATTTAAAACCCAGGTTTGCGAGGCTGATAAAACCGGAAATGCCGCCCGTGGATCTCTAAGCGTTGTCTTATTAATATGTAATGAGAGGAACTGCTGCAATCATTTCGCAGGTATATATGCACACAGTTGATTGTTGACAAGTATTTGGAAATTTAGAACATTTGATGCTCATTTTAAAACTGTAATATCGCATGTTAGGAAATTAACACTTATTCCTTCACTACAAATATTGGTTATCGCTCAGTTTATAATCTATTGGACATTACCGACTGACCGACTGCGCATCGACATCGTGATGAATTCGGATCAGTTTCGTGAAGACACGCTTAAAAGGTTGGAACGACTTGAGAAAATCTTGGAAGAAATAAAAGATAACACGAAAACGACGCCAGATGAGATTTGGCACGTCCCAAGAGAGGACAAGGTACAGAATTAGCAAAATACTAGAAAATTTAGACTCTGATGTGCAGGTGCTGAAAATGTTTTATTTGTAAACTAAAACTTCGTTTTAATATGTCTGCATGGCAACGGGTCCGTTCACAGACAATTCTTGCATACAAGTATGATATTGATCTGTCGATGTCGGTAAAGGGTTCAAATTTATCGTTTTGTAGAAAATACGTTTCTTGAGGGAGTTGAGTTTTTTTATAGCACCGGTCCATCATTATAACGTATAATAACACTAGCATTTTACAACATATTGCTACAAAAGCTTTTGGGATCTAAAGATTCCAAATCTGCTGGAAAGATTTTTTATATTTATGGTCGACCAAAACAGAGGTTTATTTGAAGGCTATGTTCGCGAAAGGTGGCGACTGACTAATAAAAGTTTAGAGCCCCATAGCTTAAACGGAGGTGTTTTTCGGGGTTAATGTTAACGCATCCTTAACTTCTCGGATTACACTAAGACAATGAATGCTGGGATTAATAGATAGATAGAACGCCTTTATTTAAACACCTTTATTTATATAAGCCCTCGCCAATTTAATGGAGACCACAAATTTTCTGAGCTAGCGAAATCTAAGCTTATATTTTGACATGACTTAAATGAATCGATAACTGATTTAATGCTGCATGTTATACGAAGTCAAATGTACATGCGGTCAAATATAGCCATAAAACTGAAATTTAATAACATTGTTCCAGTTCGTCGATCAAGATGCCGGCGACAAATTAAGTCTGTTGTTTCTGATTGAATAAAAGGATTAAGAACGGATAGCATAAAACCCTGATCTTCATTAGTTTTAGAAAGCAGTTGAATATATAGTTAGTAGATGATCAATGAATGAACAGGTTTTGACGTTAATAAGAGATAAATATAAGTTAGTCATCATAATGCAGTGGTGTCGAATATTAAACTATATTACAGCATGATATACGAGCATGCATAAAAGTTAGTAAAAAACTTGTGTGAAACGAGAGTTTGGCTGATTTATACAATCATTAACATCATTCGTTTTTCCGCTGCTTCAAGCTGGAAATTTATTAGTCTATGCCTCAGCTACAATCATATATGGACTCTTGCTAATGGTTAAATATTAAACCCGGCGCTTCAAAACGTGAAAACATTACAAAATCTTCAGGGATTAAACCTCAAAAGTTACTGATTCTTCGAATATTTTAATATGCTGCGAATATTTGCAGTCGACTTTAAAAGCTTTGAATTGACATTCGTTTTATTAAAACTTAAATTTCAACATAAAAAACCCTTTTCAATAAGGTGAAGCTATGATATGATAGCTTTTCGTAGTTGGTTTTATCTTTCAAAAACAACATATCAAGCTCAATATGTAGCCTACAAATAAACTGAATCTTTTTCAAAACAGAAAATACGGAATAAACGAAGCAGACACCCCACCTGTTTAAAAGACTTGGTATAGCTTACTAGATTATATAGCTTATATAGATTATTATGTACTCATTTTACTTTGTAAAATATCTTTACGGAAATAATTCGGGATAAATGACAGTTAAATAATTTGCTGACGTTCTCGATTAAATACATCCGCCTCAGCTAATCAGGACGTTGCTGATTACCAGTCTTCTCTCGCTTTAATTCCGCGCATGCGCATAGCTTACAAAACCGTCCGATCGACCATGACTTAGAATTTGGAAAACTTTGTATTCTGCTATGTTCTTTCAAAACACTCGGGTGTAATAAATCTCCCAGCGGAATTAGTACCCTCGCTTAGCGCTTCGCACCGGCTCAGGAATTATGCATTTGGAAAACTTTCCGATTAACAATTAATAGACGGAGAGTAGTTTTGATGGAAATTAAGCCCCGTTTGCACTACAGTCAATTTATTGGCACGGCACGGCTAAAATGGGTACCCGTGTCCATCTCATTAGTGCCCGGCCTTTGTTTTGGTAGCCTGAACACTAATAAAATTGAGCACTGTGCACGGTGCACATTTTAGCCGTGCCGTGCTAATAAATCGAGTGTAATGTAAACGAGGCTTTAATTTCTTAGCTAAAGTGTAACCATGTGGAGACGAATGTAGTTTGAGTATTAGTAGGTGTTGATCATTACACTATGTTACAGAAAATTTCCACTGCATCCTGAATCAGATGGATTAAAAAGAGGCAGGAGCGCCCGGACTGCACTTGACATATTATTACTTTATTACACACAAAAGCTTTGATGATTAATTTATGGCATCCATTTCTATGTATTTCCCAGGTGGTTGTTTCAGTGCGGGCGAAGCTTCAGACAGTTGGTGACATCGACAATGTGAATCAACAGTTTTTTGCGTATTTTGTTTTGACTCTAACGTGGAAAGAATCTCGTTTGAAAGGAATGAAGCGAGAGGTATAGAAAACTTGAAAAAATGCATTATTCCCTGATTCGTTGAAGTATTTATCAGAGTGAGAGATTATACATTGAGATATTTTTAATTTTCTAGGATGTCGTATGGAGTGAGCAGTGGGATCCAAGGATTAACTTTAAGAATCAACTGACCGTAGACAGATTGGAGAAGCATCATGAGTTACGCTACGAACCCGGAGATGACATCCCGACTGTCTATATGTGTATGTGTTTAAACCTTTTCCTAATAATGAACAATATCATGCGCCGGTCAATAAAATAACTTGTGAAATTCATGAATAATTAATGAGTCTAACTTGCAATCATTGCGCAGTATTTTGGTCACATGTATACATCTGTAATTCTCCATAATGGTCTCATGTATTGTTAAAAAATATATTAACTTTGATGCAACCAATCTTAATTAGTATTCATAACTTTGTTACACACATGTCCTAATATGCATTAAGCCTAATTTATTCATTTGACAAGCATGTTAAAATATTCGCGGCCGATCTGCATGTAAATACCCATACAGATCAGCCGCTCGTATTCTAAATAGTACTTAACTCTTGGTAAATCAGGCCTAGACACCTTGTTATGTTCTCTAAGTTCTACCCAAACAAGGAGTTTCACCTAACACTAATCGTAGCTTCAATAGAGACTTCCAGAATTTGCACACAAAACAATAGCTTGGAAGCGAGGCGGGCAATGTAATCGATTGTTAGTGAGTTGTTTCTCATTGCCCAAAAATAAATTCGGGAAGTGTTTATTGACAACCTACTTTATTAAAAACACACATGGTTTTATGTGGATATTACTTGGTAATTGAGTACTGTATTGGTCATAATTCTCCAGCAATTGAACTATTTTACTTTCATTTTTTCCATATTCAAGATGTTTATGCCGCTGGTATATTCAAGGAAATCTTAGAGTTGAGTGATTTTCCATTTGATTACCAGGTACCGATACTATCATTTTCCATACCGTGTACAGTGCTTTAAACACAAAAATAATACATTCAAATTATATGCCATTTCATTTGCATCTAGAGTTTATCCGTTCAAATTGAATCAGACTGGCCTGACAACATTATGTCGTTTGAGAAAAACAATGAAATAAAAGACAGTGTCATACTACAAACATTTGCAGGTAAGAAATGTGTTGAAGTAACTGCTAATAAATCACTAATCATAATCCAGTGGCAGATTCCGGAAAAAGGGGACCTAATTTCAAAATTAAAATGCTTTGATAACAACGCTATTGATAATTTATTTCTAGGAAATATGATTGTGTACAAACATGATTGCAATTTAGAGCTGTAGTAGCTAATTAATTCTGACTTACCCTGGATCCGCCATTGCAATTATTTTTATTTCAATCTGTTATTCAACTGAAATTTCTTGGTATTCATTGATGGATGTTTGTGTATATATGCGAAGCTCGTTTTCACCTGCATCAACGGTTAAAATACTTTTGTTTCACACTTAGGCTGTCACGAGTGGTCGCTTTGTCCTCATGTTGTGGCTGGTAGAGTCGACCCAAAGAAAAACAATTCTGGCTCACACAGGACTTATCCAAATTATGAGATCACGTGCCATGTCAAAAGAAAACCAAACTTCTATATGTGGAATGTTGCTCTCATTATGGTAAATGCCCAAGACAAATTTGCATTTTAAGCGATGCACTTTTGATTTTTATGCGACAATTTAGGGGAATAGGGCACCACGGATTTCTTTTGCAAGAATATCGCGTTTATTTTTGCCCTGTATTTTAATAATTTCTGTGCAAAAATAAATTAAAATGAGCCAGGTGATAGAATACTTTCGAGAACTCTACCTTGTTTTGATCATTGGGTCAGTATTCACACTGGGTAGCTTGTACTATACGAATAAAACGTTTCTGGAGAATATGACGGTGCTTATAATCATAGTCTTGTTTGATGTGTAGGGTCTCATTATGTCGTTGACGTTTTGCTCGTTTTCTGTTGACGTCGATTCGCCAGAAGACCGACTCAGTGTAACTCTGACTTTGCTCCTAACATCTGTCGCCTTCAAGTTTGTGGTTTCCCAGAGTCTTCCCAACGTCAGCTATTTGACCTGCTTGGTAAGAGGCTTAAATCGTGTCGGATGTTTTGCTTGACAAAAATTTAAACGATGTGTCTATGTTGATTGGATTTCGCAATTTTTTTTTTAGGATCAGTATGTGATCAGCTGCATGATCATCCAGTGTATCATAGCAGTGCTTAATGCGATTGGCGGGAAAATACCTGAGGAAAATCAAGAGTTGTTTGATAATGCCTCGGTGTGTGTTCTTGGAGGAAGTGTGGTTATCTTACATTTTATTTTTGGAATTATCTTTTCCATAAAGGTAGAAGCCATGGAACTCAAATAGAAAACAAACTTGTCAACCTTTTATCCAAGGGTCATCGTCAGGAGTGTTTGTAACCTCACCTACAAAAGCCCTAAAATCAATATATCGAGAAGTGTTTTTGTTTAATTTAGGCAGTTGTTATCCATGTTGATATACGAATAAATTACAAAAGATTTATTGTTTCAGGTTGCAAAAAGAAATACGTTTTTGAGTAAAATAACCAAAGAATATGATAGATTAGCCGCGGAATATAATGAAAGATGGAATCAGAAAAAGAAACATTTAAAATCGCAAGAACAACAGGTACAAGAAAGGTTCAAACTTGAAAGAGACATTTTATTTTAAATTTTGGCATTCAATTTACAGCAATCCCAAGATTCGAAAAACTACTGAAAAATATTTAGTACCGTTTGAGCGTTTGTATTTATACCATCAAACGATTATTTTCTTTTATTTTTCAGTGCATGCGTATTTATATACCAATATATATTAGTTGCCCCCTTTTTACATGTTTCCTTGTGTTCCAGTAATAACAATAATATTAATTTCAAACGTGAAGTGTCTCCACAGAGTGGCTTCTTGATAATTAATGTATATTGGCATCGAATATCACTGAATACCATAAAATCACCAAAAAAACGTCCGGTATATACCAGGGACGAACTTTAAGTTTGTTGAAACGTTTAGTTGTGACATAACTGGTTTGTTATATTTTCCCAGGATGAGGGAAACAAGACCCCAAGAAGTAAGAAGAGAGAGAAAAATAAAAGACAAGTTGAGGATATAAACATGGCGCTTGAACGCGGGCAAACCAAATAGATCACTGTTAACAGGTCAGTGAATAGTGATACAAAACCTACCAGTGACAAATGCTTCGATATTCCATATTAATTTTTAAAACATAGGTATACGCTATAATTATATAGAAATTTAAAGACAAGAATCACAAGTATATTTCAAATATATTTTGTACAGAATTCTCTTACACGATCACTATTTTATCTGGAAAATTATTGTTGTTAGTGAACCAGTATTGCGTTTTGCGAGCAGTTTTCCATATCTTACCTCATGATTATAATTTATTATCTCAAAGTGTAAAAGAAGTGTTTCTTTATATTGCTGGATTGGGCATCGCTGATTGATGGGACTTTCAACTTTTTAACTAGCCTTCTTTTGTCATTCACAGGTCAACTCATAACTGCTTAATACATTCTCATTAATAAAATCTGAAATGCAACAAAGCATTTGTATCGAGAAATACACACATCAGTATTGTGAATGTGGCAACCTCTACCATACAATCACGCTATGATGGCTATATTAGTTGTCATTTGGATTGAATTTACCTGTAATTTAATGCTTTACTGTTTCTTAAGTATAAAACAAAATATTTACGAAGAAAATAAGAATTATTTAGTACTTATTAGTAATTATGTACATTGCATGATTTACAGTAGCTGATATATATAGAGCGAGGACCGTTACATCTCAATTGGCGATTTTAGTAGGCGTATATAGGGTGACCCATAAATACGAAAACTATTGAAATCACTCATTGTTAAAATTTGAATGCAGTGTGCACGAATTTTAGCCCATGTGGATTTAATGCAACTCAGTAAAATGCTAAATGTTTTGTGTTGCTAGAGAAAGGGGACATGTCGAAGGTCATGGTGATTGAGATGCTTATTTGTATACAGGGTGTCCCAAAAAAAGCCCCCCCTATTGAAATGAAGCCTTTGTTGATTTGAATGCATGATCAACGCAGTAGTGTGTAAATAGCATAGTTATTAGGTTGAGGCATTCAAATAAAGCGTCTTGCTTTCAATTGGGTTTATCATAATATTAAGGCAATCAGATTCTAACAAAGGCTTGATTTCAATAGAGGGGACTTTTTTTTGGGACACCCTGTATTGTTAATAAATATCATTTTCGCGTACGAGCAAATTTTACTACATCATATGCATGCATAAAAATGCTTATGGCAAACATTTACACACTTGTGGGTCCCAACAGAGTGCTTAGGCATTCAAACTCTAACAATTACATTGTTATGGGTGATTTCAATAGTTTTCGTTTTTTTAGGACACCCTGTATACTGGGGTGATGGTAAAAACCTTAAGGGATTAAAGGGATTAAGTCTGAGTAAGAGAACAATAAAATCGATTTGTGTAAACGTGATTTGAATTTCACATACACAACAAAAGATAAAAGTGACGAAGCATCGCAACCTCAACGATAACACGTGCTAAAGCAGATCTATTCGATCGAAATACGTCTATTAGCAGTTTATTTCGACGAACTAACGAATTACAACCATGCTCAGATATTGAATTCATACTCGTACAACATAAATCGTTAACGAAAACCTATCGAAGTGTTGAACTGAGTTGCGAATATGGCGTAGTTTGTAAGGTTATGTTGTCAACTGCATGTCGTCGTCGAGACCAAAGATCAGACATACAACAAAACTTATATTCTCAATCGTTAATGGTTTGGCATTCAAATTCGAGGTGGGTGATGCTTACCGAATCTTTTATTACCTTCGATGTGGCAAAATTCAATGCTGTAAAAAACTGTTCTTCCCTGGAAAATTAATATGTATTGTAATAGCGTGACCCATTTAATTTATGTATTTCTTATGCATAACTTTAGCCTTAATTGTTTGGGCGTAATATAAAACGACAAGCGTGCGAATGCTAGCGAGAGACCTAATATAGATACCTGAGTAAACCGTACACCGAACTCTTATCGATCGTGTGAAGGACACAAATGTAAGTTAACTTTGTAAATATGTCTTTGAGTTAACTATTTTATTAATTGTAAATACCATGTTTATAGTATTCGTTACCTGTCCTACATCGTGATATTCAAACGAAGAACGGTGATATATCAGCAACGAACGGATCGAGTAACGACTGTGTCTAAGCAATAGTGTGTTTAAGTACACAATCATTTAATAAACGACAAGAACATCGTACCAACGTCTTTGGTTTTATTCTCTGTGAGCGATTTCAAGCAGAACGAAGCGTGCACTCACATAGTAACGAATAATTTCGTACAAGTAAAGCGAAGGGTTATAACGATGAACTCTATACGAAACGTTTGACGGTATTGTAAGGGAGAACAAGTCGTGTTTAAAGGAATGAGTTCTTGCAAAAGCAACGAAGATGAGCAAGCACAAGCTTCGCTTGTTGGCGCCGAAAGAGCGAACAATGACATAGAATCTTTAGAACTTCAAGTTCATAATTACCCAGACGAAAGTCAGGCGCTTGGTCAGGAAAGTCAAGATTCCGAACATTTAGTAGCCATGGGACCACGCCGTCGTGTTATGACCGAGAAAGGTAGAGTGGTACACATTGAGCGACTCAAACGAGAACGAATAACAACTCTTGCTGCAGTTACACGGAAAAGAACTGAAATAAACAATCTATTGAATAACAATAACAATTTACATATAGTTAAAGCTGAGTGCTCTAATATGGAAAATTTGATCGTAAAGTATAAAAAAGCATGTGAAACTTATCGGATTGAATTGGATGAAAATGAGGCGAAGAGATTGCGTGAGATAGATGAAACAAAGGAGAAAGATTTCACAAATTTCCAAAGTCAAATCATGTCATGGATAGAAGAAGCAGAACATGATTTGTCCGAGCACTTAGAGTCTCAAAGTTCTAAAGGGTCCAACACGAGAGCATCCAAGATCAGCTCCAGCTCATCAAGATTGTCAGCAAGAAATCGTGAAAGAGTCAAAATCGCTGAACTGTTAGCTGAGAAATCAATGTTAAGTAGAAAACAAGCCATTCGAAATGCTGAAGAGGAGCTAAAGTTAGAAACGAAAATAATCAAGGCAGAAGCAAGAGAGAAAGTACTCGCAGAGTTAAGTGAGAAAGAATCGGTAAATTCAGCTTCGACTTTACCTGAATCAGTTCCAACTACAACATTTTTCCGTGCATTTCCAACATCATCAATACCTATGCGAAGGCTTCCAAAGCAAGTACCTAGTCAGGGAGGCAAGGCATACTATAATGCAACGGACAGAAAGAAATCAGAAATTCCCCAAGTTTCCCGTGAATCTACGGAAGGGATACGAAAATCAATATTGCAAGAGAACGCGTTTCGACGAAATATTCGACCTTCCGAAATCTACCGCCCTACTTCTGTGAACCCTACGTTACCACCAAACGTCAGCAGTGGTTTGTGGTCTATGAAAGATGTGCAAGAAGACTCTACTGCCAGAGCTATGACAAATGAAAACGTCCTTCAAAATATGATTTTGCTACAGCAACAACAAACTGAGACGATGTTAGCAACTCATCAACAGCTGAGTGCCGCGATGACTTTACCTCAGCCAGCAATTCAGAAATTCAAAGGAGACCTTATAGATTATAAAGTTTTCATAGCGTCATTTGATGCACGAATTCATTATCGAGTAAATAATGACGCAGATCGTCTGTATTACCTCCATCAATATTTGGACGGTGAGCCAAAAAGTCTTATAGAGGGATGTTTACATATGAATCCAGACCGAGGCTATAGAGAAGCAAGACAACTGTTGAATAAAGAATACGGCGACCTGTACAAAATATCTATGGCACATATCCAAAAGTTGTACAATTGGCCAACCATTAAATCTGATGATAGTAAAGCTTTAAGATCTTTCTCTCTATTTTTGGTCAAGTGTAAAGTAGCTATGAAGAATATGTCCCATATGCTCATTTTAGACCATGCACCAAATATGCAAGCGGTGGTTTCGAGGTTGCCTCTTCATCTACAAAATAGGTGGAGAGATCAAGTAGTTAAAATGAGACGAGACCCAGTCAACATGGTAAACTTTGAAAGTCTTGCTGATTTCGTGCATTTAGCAGCTGAATCAGCTAATGATCCTGTGTTCGGAAAAGAAGCTCTGCATGGTAAAGGTAAAGAGAGTTCTATTAAGGACAAAGAACAAGAAAGAAAGAAAGATGCATTCCAGTCAAAATATCGAAAGAGTGGTAGTTTCGCAACACAGACCGAGTTAACACACGGGGCCGGGTCCAGAAATACTAACGCCTGTCCTTTGTGCAACCACCTTCATGATTTAGATGATTGTGGACTTTTCTTGAAGAAAACGATCCAACAAAGAAAAGAATTCCTAAAAGAGAAGAAAATGTGCTTTGCTTGTTATGGGAAAAACCACATTTCGAAAGGTTGCCTGGAGAAGCGAAGATGTAAAAAATGCAATAAACCACACCCAACTGCTCTGCACATAGACGGTTTTACATTAACAAATCAAGAACATGAAACGAAAACCAAAACGAAAAGCGGTTGCATTAATCTTCCTACTCAAATGTATCATTCAAACGCAGTGGCATCCTACGACGCGGCAATCCTACACGCGATCATACCCGTAAAAGTAAAGAAGAAAGGTGACACAGAGCCAGTAATCACTTACGCTTTTTATGATAACGGAAGTGGAGGTTGTTTTCTTACAGAAGCTCTTCTGGAAAAGCTTGGCATTGAAGGCGAAAGAGTGAAGTTACAACTCGGAACTATGCTTGGTCATGGTTTAGTGGATACAACCGTTGTTAGCGATTTAGTAGTAACCGATATCAACGATTCCAATCCAGTCGAAATACCCCGATTATATACGAGAAACGAAATACCGGTGACAAAAAAGCAAATACCCACGCCAAATATGGTTGAGCAATGCCCTCACCTTTCCAGAATCGCCAACTTGATGCCAGAGTTCCACCAGGGAATTGACATTGGCCTGTTAATTGGCAGCAATTGTCCTGCGGCACTTGAGCCATTGGAAGTCGTCCCAAGTTGTTGTGAAGGCCCGTTTGCGATGCGGCTTCGACATGGATGGACTTTAACTGGTCCTTTATTGATGAATGATACTTCGCAATCTGGCGTAATAGCTAACCAGATTACAGTTCGTGAAATTGATTCAATCAAATAAGTAATTTCAAGTGAAGTAATAAAGAACATGTTTGAGATGGACTTTAACGATCGTAAAGTTGGTCTTGATGAACGTGGCCTTTCAAGAGAAGATAGGATCTTCCTCGACAAAATGGATGCAGATGTCTGTCTGGTAGGCAATCATTATCAATTACCTCTTCCATTCAAGGAGAATTCACAAGTGATGCCAAATAACAGGAGTCAAGCCTTAAAACGAGCGCTATGGCAAAAGAAAAAGATGCAACGTGATTCGAAATATCACACGGACTATACCAACTTTATGAACGACATTATTCGTAAGGGGTATGCTCGAAAGATATCTGAGAAAGAAGCTCAGCCAGAATGTGGGAAACTTTGGTACCTCCCGCATCACGGCATTTACCACCCGAAAAAACCCGACAAGATACGTGTTGTTTTTGACTGCAGTGCTGACTATTTCGGGACATCATTGAATAAGATTTTACTGCAAGGCCCAGATCTAACCAATTCTTTGGTTGGCGTGCTCACTCGCTTTCGTCAAGAGCCTGTCGCCTTTATGGCTGACATAGAGGCTATGTTTCACCAGGTATGGGTTCCAAGTGAGCACTGGAATTTCCTCAGATTTCTTTGGTGGCCAGATGGTAATCTGGACTTAGAAATACAAGAGTATCAAATGGTAGTCCATTTATTTGGAGCAGTTTCCTCCCCAAGTGTATGTAACTACGCCTTAAGGAAAACAGCTGACGACAACGAATTAGATTATCCAACCGTAGCCACAGTTATTCGACGGAACTTTTATGTGGATGATTGTTTGAGATCAGATAAAACTGAAGAAAGCACCACAAAGTTAATAGATGATTTGAGAACAGTATGTACGAAAGGAGGATTCCACCTAACAAAGTTCGTTTCCAACAGTCGTAACGTTCTTGAGTCTATTCCAGCTGAAGAACGTTCTCAAGAAACTAGAACATTAGATTTGGATCGAGAACGATTACCTATTAAGCGTGCCCTTGGTATTCAGTGGTGTGTCGAGTCAGATATGTTTGAATTCCGCATCATCCTTAGCGATAAACCATTGACCAGACGAGGGATATTGTCGACTATTTCTTCGGTTTATGATCCACTTGGTTTTGTGGCACCTTTCATATTGCCCGCAAAAGGAATCCTACAAGACCTATGTCGTAAAGATATTGATTGGGATGAAGATATTCCAGAGGCGTACAGAATCCAATGGATGAAGTGGTTAACCGAACTTCCCTTACTTCATAAGTTGCAAATACCACGATGTATTAAACCTACTCAATTCGGAACAGTAGTTTCTCGACAAATTCACATTTTTTCAGATGCGAGTGAATCTGGTTATGGAGCAGTTGCTTACCAGCGTCTGGTAGATGACAATGAAACCATCCACTGTGCCTTTTTAATGGGTAAAGCCCGTTTAGCTCCTATTAAAGCGATTACAATACCACGTTTAGAACTCACTGCGGCAGTTGTGTCTGTTCGTATTGGCGAACTATTAAAGAAAGAATTGGACGGTCGATATGAAATAATATACCACACTGACTCTCTTACGGTATTGCGCTATATTATTAGTGAACAACACCGATTTCACGTATTTGTTGCAAATCGGGTACAGTTAATCCGCGACTACTCAGATCCCCACCAATGGAGATATATCGAAACCGCAGAAAACCCAGCAGACGACGCCTCAAGAGGGATAAAAGGAACAGAATTTCTTAATCAACAACGGTGGTTCAATGGTCCAAAGTTTTTATGGACACCAGAACAAGAATGGCCAGATCAACCAATATTTTTGGGTCCAATTAGCTACGATGATCCAGAAGTCAAGAAGGAAATCGAAAGCAGTGCAACCAAAACTAGTGAAGTGGTCGACCACACCAGTAAATTGATTCATTCCATTTCTGATTGGTATCGACTGAAGAAATCAGTAGCTGTATTCCTTCGCGTTAAAAAGATACTTAGAACAAGAAGACAATCTGGTCTGAATTCTACTGACAAAGATACACAGCATGAAAGGAAGTTCCCTCTTTCTGCCGAGGAATTAGCGAAATCTGAGATTGCCATTTTGAAATATGTACAACATACTGAGTACCATAAGGAGATAACTTACCTTCAAGATGTCATGACCGAATCGGGCGACATTGGATGTCGGAAATTACAAAAGAAAAAGAAAAGCGACATCAAGAAGATTAGTCACATTTATCGTCTTGATCCATATCTGGATGGCGAAGTTCTTAGAGTTGGAGGAAGACTTGATCGAGCAAATTTGCCGCAAGAAATCGCACATCCCATAATTCTACCCTACAAGAGCCATGTAACATCATTAATTATTCGCCATGTACATCAACAACTCGGTCATGCTGGTCGCAACCATGTCATCGCAACACTTCGAGAAAATTATTGGATCGTTAAAATCAATGCAGCAGTTCGAAGAGTTCTATCTAAATGTGTTTTTTGTCGTCGTTATCACGGGAAGCCAAACGAGCAGAAGATGTCAAATTTGCCCGAAGATCGTGTTACACCAGCACCACCTTTCACTCACACAGGGGTGGACTATTTTGGGCCATTCATAATAAAAGAAGGACGTAAAGAACTCAAGAAATATGGTGCAATATTTACTTGTCTTGTCAGTAGAGCAGTTCATATTGAAGTTGCGAATTCATTAAGTTCCGATTCCTTTATTCAAGCCCTACGTCGTTTTATATCTAGACGTGGCCCTGTGACGAAAATAAGAAGCGATAATGGCTCAAATTTCGTCGGCGCGAATAAAGAACTCATCCGTGCAATGAAAGAAATGAATCATAATCAAATTCAAATAAAACTTCGCCGCGAAGGTATTGAATGGCTATTTAACACCCCAACAGCAAGCCACATGGGTGGCGTATGGGAACGTCAAATAAAGAGCATAAGAAAAATTCTAGCAGGTTTATTATACGAACACGGAAGTCGACTGGACGAAGAATCCTTTAGGACGCTCTTATGTGAAGTGGAAGCGGTGATCAATTCCAGACCGTTAACCATGATATCAAGTGATCCCACCGATTTGCACCCGTTGACACCTAATCATATCCTTACAACAAAGTCCAGTATCATACTGCCTCCTCCGGGAAATTTCCAAAGAAATGATATCTACCTTCATCGACGTTGGCGAAGAGTCCAGTATCTTGTCAACTTATTCTGGACAAGATGGAAAAGGGAGTACCTTCTCACTTTGCAAGCACGTTCCAAATGGCAACAACCAAAACGCAACCTAACTCCAGGAGACATCGTAATTTTGAAAGAAGAGAACACTCCTCGTAACGTATGGCCTTTAGGTCTTGTTGTAGATACACAACCAGACTCCAAGGGATTTGTGAGAACCGTTATCGTACGAACAAAGGACGCTGAATATCGAAGACCGATCACTAAAATCGTATTGTTACTAGCTAAAGAAGAACAATAATAGTAAGAGTATAAATTTATATAAATTTAGGGACCGGGAATGTAATAGCGTGACCCATTTAATTTATGTATTTCTTATGCATAACTTTAGCCTTAATTGTTTGGGCGTAATATAAAACGACAAGCGTGCGAATGCTAGCGAGAGACCTAATATAGATACCTGAGTAAACTCTTATCGATCGTGTGAAGGACACAAATGTAAGTTAACTTTGTAAATATGTCTTTGAGTTAACTATTTTATTAATTGTAAATACCATGTTTATAGTATTCGTTACCTGTCCTACATCGTGATATTCAAACGAAGAACGGTGATATATCAGCAACGAACGGATCGAGTAACGACTGTGTCTAAGCAATAGTGTGTTTAAGTACACAATCATTTAATAAACGACAAGAACATCGTACCAACGTCTTTGGTTTTATTCTCTGTGAGCGATTTTAAGCAGAACGAAGCGTGCACTCACATGTATATAATTGTCATTATAGGGGTGCGCTGGGAAGATGTTTTGTTGCAGTATCTGATTAGATATTTGCAAAGAATTGGAACGAGCTTATCCAGAAAATTGATGTGTTTTTTATTAACCAAAAGTGTAGCACAATTTGGATGGCACACAATGCCAGAAAGCCATATGCATTCACCTGTACCACATATGTAAGTACGAAACCAGATATGTCTCCTGGGTCACATGCACATTTAAGAAAATGATGTATCCAAAAATCACGAACTGTTCGGGGTAAAAAATATTACGAATATTGTTTTATTCAAATCACCGTACAATAAAAATTACAAGCAGATTGCAAACATCCCTCAATCGACCCTCTGTGCTACTACTGGCATGAGTATTTAGACATGGTTTACGTATTCAAAAGCGTCAAAAACAACTTGGACAATCATATTCGTAAAAAGTCATCTTTACGAGAAACAAGGACGTCAAGCACGTCAAATGGCGTTTTGTTAAATGTAGCCAAGAGTCGAACTGTCAGTTTTAAAAACAGTTTCTACATCAGAGCTGCCAAAGTTTGGAACACCCTTCCATGTTCTGTGAGAGATATCTCTATATCCCTTGGGTCATTCAAAGCGCTTTTAATGAAATAATATGCAGATCTGACGGAACGAATTTACAGTCAAGATGATCCTAAAACTTTCAAATCTGTTTGTGTGAAATGTGACGCAACTCGGCCATTACGGATCATTTCAACAAGACCCTGCTGCAAACATTGCAATTTATGGCACTTTCTCAATACATGACTTATCCGTGATTTTCTTCTCTAACCAATTTAATTCAATTAACAGTTACGAATCTTGACTTCGTTTACGATTAAATCATTTCACTTGATATTAAGTTGTTATTGTTTCTTCATGTATCGAGAAAGTCCTATAAATTTGTTAACTTGCTTATATGTGTATGTTTGTGTTTGTCTATTTGTAAGTTAGTTGTGGAACCCCGTTATTGGTGACATATCTCTGTGTGGTGATTCCAGCCATTGCATGTGTGGAGTTCATTTGTAGTTTATGTGTAGTTCATTGTTACTTTTTAACATGGTAAATTTACAAAACAAATATAAAACAAACAGATGTTTCAAATATTCCCCTTCGTAGCAGGGGGTATATTCATATGTGAAGTTTAATCGGGGGGGGGGGGATTCATATAATCGTCTTACGCCCAATTGATTTCTTTTGTACGCTATTGCTCCAACGGTATATAAACATGAATATATGAATATACTCCCCCCTCCAATTAAGCGGTCTAGCTACGGCCCTGCTACTTAGTTACTTATGGACTAAAACCATCATTGGCCCCAGTCAGAGACACATATTGTATAGAGTCGCTATTATGTTGGCTGATAAAAACGCTGAAACTTTTTTGCAATGCTAAAAGATAAGTTCCACTTATTATCGCTCGTTCTCCTAAACTCCCACGCGTGTTTCTATAACTGCATTGAAAACGGAAAATGTTTTCTATTTCTTACCGAGAAACACGCTTCTCGATCAATCAGCGCGCGCGTACTATAAATGTTATATTAGAAATGTAAATGTTTGAACTGCATGAAATAAAATGGATTTGACAGGCAATCATCTGACCAGTTACTATCTGCCGAACGATAATTAGTCTGCTAAGGGCAATTTTATCATTTGGCTGAAATTGAAGAAAATAATTACAAAATGTTGTGTGGCTATCAGAGTTGGTTAAAGTAATTGATATTCAGGGCATTGGAGAATTCTGCTAACATTAAAGATATTTTATTATAGTCACTGAACTAAACAAATTTATAACAAAAATTCAATTAAAACTGCGGGTGAAGCAAAATTACCAATATCTTTAATTATGCACACTTCCCGACTAGCTCAATTTTACCTCTTTAATATAATTTAAACGTATCAAATTTCACTCTCTGAGGCTCATCCAACTCTGCCTTTAGTTCAAAAATTGACAGATAGACATTATCGAGTCCCGTCTTTCCATACAAACTTGTAGTTTGAAACGGCTTTTCTCAATTCAGTTGGCAATAACAATATCAAACTGAGTGCAATTTCACATGACTAATTAAAATTATTATTTTAGCCAATATTTTCAAAATAAGTGATATTGCTATACATTATTTAAGGATTAAACTACTCTGTGATTGCATTATCGGGTTTTACATGCACGAGTTCACAAACATGGAACGAGAAGTTCAATACTGCACGAGGCGAAGCCGAGTGCAGTATGGAACTTCGAGTTCCTTGTTTTTGAACGAGTGCATGTAAAACCCGATAATACACAAACAAAGAGTGCTTTAATGCTTTTAATATTCATTTTGAGTAAACTCGTAAAGACTTTATATCATTTTAAAACTTAAATAAACAACACATGCTTATCTTTAAATACTAAAACACCCTAACCAGTTGCCCGTTTAGTATTTTTCAGTGTGGATTCATCTATAATTACATTAATTTCTTCTTAACCGTTCGGCAATTTTTTTGTTTATTGCCGCCATTTTGATCGTGCAATAAATCCTATAACGGCACTGCCGTGGCGTTGTTGCTATATAAAATTCACTCACGTGGTACAAATCGACCAATCAGAACGTAAGTTTACAAAAAATGAATATTAATGTTTGATAAATCATATTTAAGTAAGCGTTAGAAAGAGATCAAAAAGTATACTTCTGTGGAAATTCAAACTTTGCCAGTACTTGCAACAAAAATGGTTTACAGAAGATTTTATACACCTTGATGTTATATTTTGACTACCATGCACCCTTTTCCTTCATTCTTAAAAGGTTAACGGTGAACATGACTCTATTGACGCCCGTTGTCTTGCATAGTCAAATGGCAAATCATTCGCTGAAAAAGATGTTTGAAAGCATCCCTGTAGGTTTTGTCGAGACAGGCATAGATTATTGGATTGAATAGACTGTTAAGCAGCGGAAGTGTGCGTACTATGAACGCAATGACGAAATAACCTTTCCAGTAGCTCAATGAAGCGGTATTCCAAACGCTAAAATTTGGATAGTAAAACCACAGTAACATCCAGATATGAATCGGACCCCAGCAACATATGAAAACTCCAGCAACAATTAACAACATCTTAATCACTTTCACATCTTTACGTAGTGCAGTTCGTTGGCTTTGAGTGTTGGTTGTTTGACCCAACTCCCCTCTCGCGAGCATCTTGTTTCGTTTATGAGCAACGAGAAAAATGAGAGCGTACATTATCAGGATGATTAATGCCGGCAGAAAAAACAAACTGATCGACATGAAAAGGTGAAATATTTTGACTGCATTCAAGTCAATGGCGAAATTGCACGAATCGATCCCGGTGCTCAAAATTCCCAAGCTTCCTGAACGAGGGGTGGCGGAGAATATGGCAAAGGAAATTGAAATAAACACAACGACAGCAATAATTTTCAAAGATCTTGAAGTTGTCATTATTGATTTGTACTGAAACGGCTTGCTGATTTTGAGGTATCGGTCAGCACTTATTAATGACAGAGTATAAATGGACGCTGTTAGGGCAAATGTATCTATCCACACCATAAAACGACACGCGTGTATTGACGTTTTTTCCAGCGATATATGCATCAAATGGTATGCATTGAACGGCTCAACGAATAGGCCCACCATGAGATCAGCGACAGCCAGTAAGGCAATGAAATACTTGTTTGGTTGATGAAGACTTCTGTCTCTCCAGGTCACAATCAAGACCAGGGTATTTCCAAAAAGTGTACCAAAGGTGATAAGGATTAATATAGTTTTCTCACATATAGAAATACGTTCCATAAGGTCTTTCAATGCCAGGCGATCACTGTTCGTCATCCTGGTTTCATTTTCAAAAGGATATACCAACGTCATTACAAAATAGATCCTGTTGAAAGTAGAATTTTCAGACCATGTGACTTGAAATGGGTTCTTTGCATACAAGCTGAAAAGGTCTATTTAATTTCAACTCGAAGCCGAATGACTTCTAAAGCTTGTATATATATATAGACACTATATGTATAATATACCGTACCTGAGTTTCAGCTGTAAGACAAGCAGATCGCAAAGCACAACTTATTATATTATGGCCGAATCGAAACTAAACAAAAATATCTCGGTTATTAATCATAGAGCTCATTAAATATTGATACTATTCAGAGTTCAAACTCAGGGCAAACGGAACTTGATCTTCAAAGTAGCTATGCATTTTGCCTAGTTCAATTTTACCTCGACATGAACCGTAACACTTTCTCTGGCTGAATTCGTGCTTCAGGTCAACAAATTTTCAGGATATTCGCGAGTGCAGTCTTTCCGTACAAATTTAGAGTTTGAAATGGTTGTTCTCAACACAGTCAGCGCGTCTTTTATCAATATAATTATATGAAACTGATTGCAATTTTAAATTAACTGATTAAGATAATTGATTTGGCTAATATTTTCAAAATAAGCAGAATTATTGCTATACATTAGGGCGTGACCAATCAGATTCATGATACGTATAAACCTGTAATTAGATGGATATTTCTGTCGTATTACTGGGTTTAATAAACGCTCACTATATTTTCCTTTATAAAAACATATAAAACTACGTAACGAAACAGGTCGATCCTTTTTAATAGTATAAATAGACGGATTTTTCCCAGTGTAACGAAGTAGCCAGAGTGTAGCAAACTTTCAAGGATAATACAGCTAGGGTGTAAAAAAATTGCAACCTCAATAATTCCAAGAGGCCTACGATATTTTGTTATTGAATAGAAGCGAACATATATGAATATTTTTTGTGATTAAGTGATTAAGTGTGTTTTTGTTGATGTGATGGACGCAGTGCTCCAACTTCGACTGCCACGATCGAACACACACCACACGAGCTCTAAGCAAAGTAAAAGCGATCTTTCGTCGTAACCACCTGACCACCATAGATGGGGTTGATTCTTTTTGTCAGCAAGCTTCGCACCCAGGAAGGAGAGAAAATGTTGGATTTCTCTTCCGCATTCGCCAAAGGAGTTGAAGACGACCTGTGCGAAGGAGCAATATAAATTTGATCAATATTAAGTGATTGGAGTTTTTTATACGCCCTGTATAGGCGTAGCTAATTAATATCACAGTATTATTTAACATGCAAACACCTCAGTGACGTATTTGCATTAGGTATTACGGTAATATTGATCACTTATTATCTTTCAAAGTGCATGTGCAAGCTACATTATATTCGGCTGGTTTTCATGCATCCATATCTCGGATGACCGTTAGGGTTAGGGTTAGGGTGTGTGAAAATTTAAACTCGTTTTTCAACTTAAATTTTTCTTCCAAGTAAGTAGCATAATGCAATCCTTTTACCTTGAATAAGTTACACAGTGTTTTGATTTCTCATTATTCCTGTTGCTAAGTAAAATTTGCCTTTATCGTCAAGTATTCAAGAGTACTGTTACGCAGTTTATTTGGTTTCGTTCGCTCGTTTTAACACTTGCGATTCGACAGGCGCTTATATATAAAGTTATATTCACCTTTATTTTGTAATATTTTATTGAAATGCAAGCAATTTTCTTTTTAATACAATTTTTGAATGTAACTTTTTAAAATATAATTCAATGACAATGCAATATGTATTCCTTCTCAAGGAATATAATCGTAATCAAAATACTGCACAATATATTATTCATGAAAACGCTTATTCTTTGAAAGAAGCTCTTTGATTTCTTTAATTTTTAGTTCTCAGTTTAATTCTGGACATTCGCTGTTGCAAGAACGCACTTAATTAACCCTGTCTGTCTGAAACAGTGAATATTCTATAAAATTAACAATCAGGAATTGTGAAAGAGAACATAATATATTGAGAGCATAATTTATGCACCAACCCTGCGTAACATTATCATCTTTTTTAACTTCTCGTTTTTCAATATACGACATAGAAATCCACTTCATCAGCATTCGTGATCGATTTCCCATTTTGTGGAATCTTTGGAATTTCGTAAGACAAATGTTAATGTAATATCTTGTAATAAGTGTCGAAGAAAATTATGTAAAATGTGTAATATTAAGAATTGCGTCATCCTATTCGCTTATTCTTTTTAAAACGATAATTTTCACCGCCCTTAGCGCATCATTTATTCCATCATTTTCGTTTCAGTTAAATGCTTCGTACAATTTATCAAAACCCTTTTTCTTCTCTTATACCAGTAGAAGCTTACGTGTCTTTATAAAAGTTTATATACAATATTTTTATTCTACATGATACCATACTAAATAAATCGTCAAATTTAAAGTTGAAAGTTATACTAAAAACTTTACTACTAAAACACTAGTAAAATTTAGACAGTTTAAAACGAGAATTTGTACGTGTAACGACGATGCAATGAAATACAGTAAAGTCTTAAGTACAAAACGTGTTATGTAAGATGGTAGCTAAATTGTTGTGGCCAGACTATAAAGAGTAAAAGCACTTATCACTGTTTTGTACAGATATCTCTTTACGCAATAAGACGGTTTACGTAACAAGAATGACCGAAAAACTTCAAGCTGTATAAAAGCAGGCGATGTAGGCAAGCTAGGCCATTGTTAATTACACACTTCTTAAACGCTGTTCAACGAGAGGTTTAGATTTTGTAACAAGAATGAATCAAGCTGTTTCGTGTCTTTTTGGGCTACTGGTCTTGGTCGTTTTGTGCTGTGAGTGAACATTAATTCCTTCATTGTACGTTTGAGATGCTACATGTTTACAAAGTAATGATTACAAAAAAACCCTGCATTAAAGCTAGTCTTTACAAAAGCTATCGTCAAGCTTTCAATGTGCCAGTTGATATAAAAAATTCTTTAAATTTTCCAGCTTTGACACGATCGGAAAAAGGTACAGAAGAATGGTCATCATGGGGCGCCTCCAGTAAGATCGCAGGGTGTCCTGGAGCAGGTGGAATACGTCCAACTGAAGAGGATAAAGCGCCTGGTTCCCCTGGCGCCACCACAAAGAAAGCAATGTCAGGTAAATTCAATAAAAATTGAGCTGAATCATGTGAACCCAAAATTGTACTTACCAAAGTATTGAGTAAAACGATTCATATTTTATAAGTGGCGGAAAAGTGCTGTCAGTCTTACGTAAAAAATATTATTAAAAACTTTCTAAAAACTATAGCTACTATATTCAATGAAGATTTCTTTTTTCAATAAGTATAAGTAAACATATACATTGGTAATATTATTTATCAGAAGTTTATGTGACAAAAGTTCTTCCCTTCATCGGTTTATGTGATCATGATCTTTCATTTTTTTCTGAAAATGAATAACTTAAAATTCTAAAGGCGCCATTCCTGCATATGAGATTGGGGGATTCTACTTGTCTGAAGTACCGTGTTCTTGGAATAAAAATGAAATATCATGCACTCTCTTTCTTTTATTACACTCTTATTTTATTTTAATATCGAAAACACAGGATTTCCATCTGAACTTCGTAAATGGTAATATCCTGTTAGGACATTGATATATCATTAACAACTTTTGACTCAGTTCATCCCACTTCTCCTATATAGCTACTCATACCTGCACTCGCCTTAAATTTCTTCTGAGATTCTTTGCATCGCGAAAGCTGAATTTATTTATCATGCAATGCATGCAGTCTGCGCCTTATAACTTTTTTGGTATTTTGTGCACTTACGCGATTTTTTTACCATTTAGGCATGCACAATTGGAATGGATAATGCGGATTGGAATTAGGTGGTAGAGTTATGTGACACGAAGATTATTCCAAAATAAAACGTTCATGGCAAATGTATATTCGAACTTCGTTTTTTTATATAATTAGAGATATAAAATCTATCTGGGGCAGGTTGTATAAAACTCTTCAACTATACATTTGGCATAGTTAAATCCTAATTAAATCAGAAATACGGCCAGATAAAAGTTAACTAGTCTTTTAGACAACTATAGGCCCAGGAGAATTATGAAAATGGCTGCGCTCCGAATGCAGTTGGAGCGTTTTATATCAAACAGAGAGCATAATTATTTTAAACCTATCATCAGGTGGATATTTTGATAAATGCTCGCTATATTTTAAACTATAAAAGTGTATAAAACTGAATAATCTTCACAGCTCGATCAGTTTAAAAAGCTTTTAGTTCGCTTGTTGAATAAAACGATAGACATGCTTTCTATTTTGAGCTCAACCATGCACCGTCTAAGCTAAACCGGCTTGATACAACCGGTCCTTGATGTGTATTCTGTGCCTAAATCGTCGCAGTTGATGCAAGTGCGAGGTATAATTTAGAAATCCAAGGAAACTATATAGCTAAAATTTTATTAAGATTCCACCTTAGCATCTGCAGGAATTAAAGATAAGACGACTGACATAAACAAGGAACGTATTTCTTTTGACTCATGAAGGCATTGCGGATTTACTGCCATGCAGGTCCAAGATTAAGACTGAGTATTTCAAGTTATATTAGACTATAGGTTTGACACAGAGATCTGTCAAAACAGATCTCCTATCTTAACTAACCAACACGCACCATCAGCATGGACAAATATCAAGGCCCACCTGTTAAGGAGCTTGACAAATGTATTGCTTTTCTGCAAGAAAGCGTTCTTTATCCGCCTGCTATTATATAGCTAATTATGCCACACACAAGCAAGTAATTTCAAAGCGCAAACTTTGTGCCGGCGGGGTTATCACGCAAGAAACGCTTTGTGAGCCAAAAATTCATTGTGTAAGAGAGCGTTGTATGTCCAAGCATGTCTTAACTCTGTTCTGTTGCGTCGCAACTGTTATAATACCATAACAAGACCTCTTTGAGACGTTTAAATTTCCATGTGCGGAATCAAATGAACAATTACACAAAGACTTTAGCCTT